AACGAACTCTAAAGGAATGATAACCGGAAGACATGATACGAAGACGTCGGTGGACAATTATACTGTTTACATAATAGGGGAGTTATTCATCTCTGTTCTGCCACCCTCTAGTTAAAACAGGTTGAACCTTTCCAGTAAATGACCGGAAAATCTGTACGAATTAAAACGCGTGCCACGGCCTTCCGTTTTATAAAAATTACACAACAGAAACCCAATGGCCAGCCTCCATAATATGGGCAAAAACCCATCATACAGTTTTGCTGCTGTTATAATTTTCAGGCCACAGTTGAGCTGGCAAACAAGGATAAGGTGCACTTAGAATCATGCATCGAAGACATGACCAACAAGAATCGTCAAATTATTCGGGAACGTGATGAACTTGTACAGCGTTCGGCCAACCTCCGTGAACGACTGTTGGAAACTGAGGACAACCTAAAGCAAACCGAACAAGAGTTGAAGCGTAGCAACGACTCTTTGCGGGTAAGGGTACCTCAAAGTAATCTCTCAGTTTTATTCCATCTTGTGGTTTGAGTCAGAATCATTGTGAGGCTGTTTTTTCCTGGTGTATACATTCAGTGGGCGCTTTGGAAGATAGATGGGAATTCACCAATTAGTCTTTGACTGAAATTGTTATTACCGTTCACTTGTAAAAGATGCAAGATTGTCCACATATCCCATGACATTTGGTTTCTATTCACTCTATGGTCACTAGACTACTTTTCGTAAAAGCTCTGAGTCAGACACCACACTATCGCAGAGTTTTCCCTCTAGAGTTTCATACGGCAAATTTTGTCTTTTTAAGTGATCTTGTCCATATAGGCTTGCGAATTCCACGTTCACTTGTTTGGACAAGTGTGATTTTTAGGTTCCGCCTATAAACGGTCTAGAAAATCAAAGTCCTAATCAGCATCTCTTATTTCACTGCAAGAATACCAACTGCATCAGGCCGCACAATACATGGCAGTATGAGGTCCAGAAAAAACTCATAATCTAGATTACTGTTATGTTTTCAACAGAAAACACTGCAGAAAAAACTCTTGATACACCTCACACAATCATGGTAATGTTGGGTGGGATCTTAGGTTTCCTTTTCACATACTTAGTTCTGAAACAAAGTGTGCATGGATATCAGGAAGGGAATCGGCAACCAGACTGAGGTTTCGCATTTCAAACGTATTCCAATACGGCTACGATTGTCCGTCATAGACAACGTCCTACTGAGTATAACCTTAAAGTAAATTGGCCGGTTGCGGCCCACCGCACACGTCCGGTTTCTTCCGGTTGACATGTTTTGTCTCAAACGTTCCAACACCAGTCAAGGTAACATCTTCATTTCTGTGTGAGTTGCAATGCTCTGTGGATGGATGATCATGGAGATTGTCCGTGCATGAGCACAGTCATTCAGGCTTGTCATTTGTGGTCGGGTGCTCATTCTTTTGTAACTCCATGCAAGCGAAAAACGCCACACCCATACGCTCACAAAGCAGTGACGATGTCCTCTGATGAATTGTTTGCAGCTCGGGCCAGTGAACAAATCGACAGTCGTCATTGCAACCTAAGCTGCCAATATTACAAGCGTCAGCGACATACCGAGAGACAAGTGTGAAGTGTAAAGGCCCAGACGTACTCGCATAGTACGACTGTATTGGTGAAATAGATAGAGTTACCGTTGACAGTATCAGACAGAACAGTTGTAACCCTACATTATGGTCTTGACCATGATTACCGGTCCCAGTCCTGGTGAATTCTTTGCGTACTTCATATGTACGAATCCGAAAATAACATTTCAAGCATTTTGTTTTCAGACTACCAGCAAGAAGTTACAAGTGCACCTGAAATTTGAATATCGATTTCTACTAAGTCTGTGTCAATGGCAGCAGAAATATGTTCTGGATTGACCTAGTGTAGTTCAGTTGGACATAGAATTTCATACAGTCCCAAAAGTTGTTGTAAGATGTGGTGAGTTTAAACATAGGGTTTCAGGTCAGATAGGAACAGAACACCCTCAGATCGCCTGAAACTGTATGCATCTACATCTGCCTTTTACCGAACAAGAGGGTGTGGATAACTCGCGATACTCTGGGCCTAAAACAAAAGACTAGATACGCCTAAATAACTTTACTGCAACAGTTTCTAGATGAATTCCTTCGGTCCTCATCCTAAGATCTGTCTCACAATGGATATCAAAAGCAGTCAGTCCATGACCACGCATTACCTCTTGATTTTCTCATTCATTGCAGGGGCTGCTGCTTCATAGTTTCTGTTTTGGACATGACAAAAGTAGCTGCATTTCTATCGAATAACTGTTATTGAGTGCGACTGCATCCGGTCTATGGTGTTTACTCCTTGTGTATCTTCGCCCATGTGTACTCCAGGCTATCTATATGACCATCAATTTAGGTGGTTTCATTCAATGAGATAGTAGACTCACACGGTTGACTCTATGATGTGATCTGCAACTGTTTAACATCAAGTTTTAATCACCGGTATTTTAAAACACCATATCAGAGCCAGCAAGGTGGTACACTTTCAAAAAAAGTACTCATTTCCCAGTGCTAACAGCTTGCTCAGTCATAATACTGGTAATTTATTGTAGACGACATACACGCTCACACAAGAGAGCATACACTCATATCAGTAAACGACAGTTTGATATGGCTGTTTTGGTCAAATGCAAGCGTTAATCGCACTGATTCAGCACATGTCTTAGTGATATAGGTACTCAAGAGTTTTGAACCTCAGGCCAGCCATGCATCCCAAAAGTAAGTGCCATTGTGTTATGACTGCTTCCAGGCCAAACATGAGAGCAAAAGTAATCAGTGTGATTTGAGTACAGCTCCGGAGGCTCTGGTGGTCCCTTCACCTTGTTAGTCCCAAAGAATGACAGGGCAAGCAAAATGCTTTATCATTTTATTATTTCCAGAAAAAAGTGCAGTTTGTGTTAAAATGCTGAGTAAAAATTATTTGTGGGAATCCAGAGAACAATAAAATTTATGGTTCATTATTAGCAGTTTAACATTGAAGTCAGGTGTGGAATATGGTGAATCCGAGATTACAATTATCTCCATTTTGGTTCAAAGTAAAGTCTCGTCTGTCGTTTGATGAAAGTGTGTTAATTCATAAAGACCCGCTGCACAATTACTGCTCCAGTTTCATGATAAAAATTGCCAACCCCCTCGCGGTGCATGTTCTCATCTTTTTGTCCTGTCGTCTTTCAACTTGCAGAATGAACGCAACACCATGACAGATATGCAGCAGCAACTGGAGCAAATGCGACGCCGTGCTGAAACCGCCGAACGAGACGGCGCTGAGATATCCATTCGCCTGCGAGACTGTGAGGAGCAGTTGCGTAAGTCCGAGTCCAGAGTGGTTCTACTAGACCGAGACTTACGTGCCGAACGAGAGGACTATGATCAGTTACGGCTACGTCTTGAGACAACAGATGATGAAAGAAGGAACTTGGAGGTAAGCGCCGCGGTGTGTGCACTAATCAATGACAAAAGTTGAAGCACAGTGCCCATTAGTTTCATGCACACTCGGAATGGAAAATTCCGGCTTATGTGTAGTTGTGTTAGGCTCTGAACTCTTAATACTTGTTTGAAGCTCGGCTGAACTACCAAAAATCATTTACCGCAAACCAGGTTATATTTTGGCTTCATGCCCCGAACAGACGAGACTCGGTCCCAAAATATGAGACCTAAAGTCCTGTCATAATAGATTGGAACAATACACCAATCTCTTATCAACGAACGTCGTTCAATTGAGGTCAGGCTTATACAGTACAAAGGGCGCTCTCCCTAGTATACGCCATTGATATAATGTTCTCCAATCAAAAGTTTTCTCAATTAAAAATCTGCAACCCAGGCGCGCCTCATCATTGTTCATACTATCACAGTGTAAGATTACGTTCCACCGATATCCTGATGCCAAATAATAGTACATTATGTTTAAAAAAGCTGTTGGTACAAGAAGGTTTATATGAATTTCTCAAAAATTTATTGATTCTCTAGCCATCGGTGTGGATTACCAGCGCATAAACGACTTCTGTCAAAAGCAAGCTACTCAGTGTCCTGTGAATGCATAGTATCACAGTGAGGTTAACGACATGAAACAAGGTATAACAGTTGTTACAAAAGACTTTATGATGGTTTGTTTCTGGTGCTGAATACAATATATAAAAATTATTACTTAAGTCAACTTTGCTATTTTGTCCAACTTCGTGCACAAGATGCACACTGCATTTTCTCATGGCTTATAAAAGACTTATTAACCTCACTGTGTCCCTCAGTTCCGCGGTCAATTGTATGACTTGATCTCCATTTGTCGTGTCCAATTGATAGATGGCACTACGTGACACCAGCCAGCGTCTGTCCCATCTGGAGGTCGATTTGACCACACGGACACGCGAAGTAAATGAACTTCGTGCAGCCAACGAAGATTCCAATCGAGCCTTCAGTCGGACGCAAGAAGCTTTGGCAAACAAATCGACCGAGCTGGCAAACACCAAAGGTGAACTGTCGGCTACTCAGTCTAGCCTAGCCGAAATTCGGCGACTTCTCGAGGCTGAAAAACAGGAAAGCGGGCGACTGCGGGATGACTTAAACAGACTGACCAAAGAAACGCAGAAATTACAATCGGAGCTCCGGGTATGTCCTGAGCACATTCCTGAACTTTATATTGTATGCTAATCCCATACCAGACACGCCAAACCTCCATCTGGGGCTCTGTACTCTACTCACGGTAGATTTCCAACCAGTTTAAAGCTTAATTTCATCCTCCATTTCTACTGGCTTCTGTCAGCACTATCTTGGATATAAAAACCCATATAGGTATCCGTTTTACAAGGTAATCCATAGACGAACCAAGTCACTAGAAGTTTCCTTACCGTCAAAAAATTTTGGGTAAAAAATACAAGCCTTACCTTTGAGTAAGAATGAGATCTATACATATATATCGTGCACCAAAGTCAAGCGAAAGGTTTCCGGGGCTTTGAACGGCATTCTTTATCGAGCGCTAAGAAGGCTGAAATGTTCTGGCCAAGATTTTTATCCGTAATTTGCTTAGGATTGTAGAGTTACCACTCCCTTACCTTGATCATTCATACTAATATCAAGTAAACTTTGGGAAGCACTGTTGTTGAGGCTAAGATTGTCCGCATGAGATAGGCGTCACTCTTTCTGTGTTTAATAATGGGTGATCAGTCAGTGACCGCATTTAACATACCTCAACAGCAACAGCTAAATATTACCCGCTCTGGTGTTCACGGGTGTAAGGAACACTTTACCGTCTCAGCTAGTGTTGTTTTCTTCTAAGCGAACCATCGACTAATACTGAAATGTCCTTGTAGTAGAACTCTTCTGAAATTCAACTTCCAGCAAGATGGACATAAAATTCGATAACTACACGAATTTGCATGTCAATCTGTTTTCAACGATTGGCTCACCAGGAACCTAGCTGAACTCTCGTTTTGGTGATCAGTCAGTGACCGCATTTAACATACCTCAACAGCAACAGCTAAATATTACCCGCTCTGGTGTTCACGGGTGTAAGGAACACTTTACCGTCTCAGCTAGTGTTGTTTTCTTCTAAGCGAACCATCGACTAATACTGAAATGTCCTTGTAGTAGAACTCTTCTGAAATTCAACTTCCAGCAAGATGGACATAAAATTCGATAACTACACGAATTTGCATGTCAATCTGTTTTCAACGATTGGCTCACCAGGAACCTAGCTGAATCTCTCGTTTTCAGTGTTCTTAAAAAAACAAATTGACTTGCCAATGAGTGTTTTTCAAAGTCTGTCCTATTTGGGTTCAATTAGAACATGTGGTTGTCGAAGACTATGGGACTGAGCCTACCTGATGAGCCTCAGGAAGAGCGACACTGGTTGTGGGCTGTCGGAGAGTATCCAGCAGCCCTAGGAGTAGTGTAGTATGTCTACACTGGACATAAGTTGTTTATTTAATCACGACAGCCTCGATATTCTCCATCACGCTCAGCTAGCTCACCCGTCCAACAAAAGTTGCTAAGATTTTCAACAAGCGTGAAGATCTTTGCAACGCTGTTGTCGAACATGCAAAGTATATTCTGATTTTGTACACCAGCAGCAAACTCTGAAACAGCTTCGACTCATTTTAGCCGAGAACTAAAATCTGAGTGTGTGAAACTTTTGAAGAGAAAAATAGCGGGTGAAATGAGGTTCCTAGTAAAAACGTGGACTAGTTCCAGAAGAACGCTACATCCGGTACTTTTGCTTACCTGGTTTATTGGCCTACCATACTAGTGAGTGATTATTGAAGGATGAGCTGACAAAACCCCGTAAAACGTTTGCTCGCTCTGTACTCTTAGTGAATCGTCACTAAAACTTACAAGGAGAGAGTTTCAGCAACACAAACACCTGGATACACGACGGGCGAATATCACTGAAATATATTTCTTTTCTTCAGAGAGTGATCCCAAAAAATCTTTCAAAAGTTTATATTTGTTACGACCCAGGGGAAGACTCTCCAGAGTTGAAAACTCAAGGGGAGATTCAAGGACTTCTTTCGTATTGTGACTCCTTTCAGTAGTTGTCTCTCTAGGGCCGGATAGACGAAAACCTAGGCAGCTGACAGACGGATTCACCAAGTTACGCGGCTAGGGCAGTTATCGGGTTGTCACCAGAGATATTGGACATTCCAGTCACATCATTTAAACTCAGACAAGTTCGCATGTGATAATTCATGTGCTTCCGGTGGTAGGTGGTGATAACAAGCTCGCCCTGCTTGTCATATCCGGTGTTCACATCGCTGCACGGCAAACGATGTACATTGCTGAAGAGTTCTAGGGACAGCGGAAATCGAGAACAGTGTTTCTGATATGGACTAACGAAACCAATTACAATTAAAGGTGGTGACTTGTGCAGGTTTGGCATAATAGTAGTCACACTGAACCGGCTAAATCGGATTGCGTACCGTCGTTTCCTTGATTCAGCCAGTGGATCCTTAACTTATAGGTGGGTTAAGTTTATTTGCTTATACCGCTGCACAGCTAACTGTTATCTACTTACGCAATTGTCCTGGTTCGTGGAGTTTCGGTTGGTCGTAAGGTCAAAGGATGATTTTAGAGGTACACTCTATTTTATCAAATTGAACTTTTGGACGGCAAACTCAGCCGTTTGAAACCTTTAGAAGCTTGACCATTTGTAGTTCAACTATTTCTTCCTATTCGCTGACCTTAGGTTTTCATTGGGATCTATCAAAGCTGAGTATTCGAAACAATTCATTATAGAGTATTTAGCGTGTTTCTAATTGGCGCTATCAAAGTCTGAGGGAAAGCCTTCCCACGCGTAAGTACTCGTAAGAGGTGACGTTCAAAGTAGACTACAAACGTTCCATCTTGTTGGCCTGCCTAGGGTACAAGTGATGGGTCCGCTACCTGTTTTCAACTACAGCACATCTGAATGATTAGGTTCACTCCAAAGTTACGCTCCTGATGATATCGATTAAAGCTCATACGAATTACAGGCCAAATCTTGGTGGACCAATCAGTACAGACAGCATAGGATAAGTTACGTAGAATGATGCAACGTCAATAATTTATTCGATTCCCCTTCTGCCGCTATATTTCGCAAAGTTTCAGCTTTGTTTTGCTGTCTCTAATTAGGTGTACACCATAATATTCCTAATCAGAGTGAAAAAATATTGTTGGAAAGGTTACCGTTCGACACACAAGTCTCCGTATCCCCAGAGAAGAACTAAGTCCTTCCTTCTAACCGACAGGAAATAGTTATTTGTTGGTGACGTGTTACAAATTTCATTCCCATGCCATCTTTCACAAAATTGTGACTTATTAGCACGAAAAATGTGACTAAAACACTGAGAAATGCAGGACATATTGACAGTTCACTACATTTTTATCCTAGATAACTTCATTCTGACCTGGTGGGTAATCGAAAGCCCACATGTAAATAGTAAATGAATTTTGATTAAACTTACAGTAGTGTGAACATTCTGAATACCAGGAATTTGATGCAGTTGTAGACGAGGACAAGTTAGGTCACATAACAAGTAAATGGCAAATCAATCGGACTTTACTAGCTTGTTGGTGTTGCTGATGTTTCGCTGCTAGAAGAAAACACCATAGCCTTAGTAAATGGGTGTTCACTTCTGGATTGCTGGGTCTTGGGCTTCCCCATTCAGGTCGAGAGATCACTGTTTCGTGGGAAAATTTTAACCAGTCACCACAGTTCATAAACCACTCCTCTCTACTCATCTATAGAGGGGCTCCGTCTTATCTACCTTGTTCAACAGACACGAATGCGGTTAACTTACGTCTGCTTTCTGCTGGCACACTAGCTAATAGAACCATCTTCTAATCAGTGTATCTAAAATCTATATTCTGATGCTAGCCACTTTTTCAAGTCATTTTGGTTTCGTAGTCCAAAGAGTTCCAAGGTTAAGGAGATTTTCAGTTTCCGTAACGATCATCAGAAACCATGTCAGTAACAATGTCAGTAACTTATCTGGCGCAAAACAGGTAGCATTTCTCTTCCTCTAAGCCGGTCATAAAACCTAAACCACCTGTCGAAACATCTTTTGTTTATCTACACTAACCTTAGAAGCCAATTAACAAGCCACTTAACAAATTAACATCTTCTCAGAACTGATCCATGACTGATGGTAGACGCGACCAGTTTCCTTGTTGTGGTGAAATCGTCCATAAAAATGGTAGGGTACGACTCATGCATCTGATAAGAGTCCGAATTTTGGATGAATTTAATTCAGTTATTTTTATAGAATTAAGAGTTCATATCATTTTATTTCATAATCATGTCCGAATAGAGACCTTATCACTAGATGAATCAGTGTAGGACATCCTCCATAACCAGTGTGGTACTGATTGCAATGTTTGAACGATACACACTGGACCCCTTGTAAAGAAAAACTTACAGGACCAACCGTTTTCCCAAGTATGTTGTCCCTACGGAGTAAAAAACGATGATTAGGAAGCCGAAAACAAATTGTTCGACTGTTGATGAAGGCGAAGGAAACATAAAGTGGGTGTAGTTGTCATAAAGGAATACATGTATATCTTGTAATATGCTAGGAAACATAAAGTGGGTGTAGTTGTCATAAAGGAATACATGTATATCTTTGTAATATGCTACTCATAAGGTTGCTGAAAACTCTTCGACAGCCCACGACCGGTTTTGCCCTTCTTGGGGTTCATCAGGTTGGCGCAGTTCCCGAGTTTCCGTCAACCTTATGATCTACTTGAATCCAAATGCACTGTTTTCGAGAAATACACTAATTTGCAAATCATATTGGTTTTCACGGGAGACTCAATTGAATCCCTTGTTTATGATGTCCTCCAGCTGAATGTGCTGCACACAGCCCGCCTCATGATTCAGTTGGCACGATATTCGAGATATAGCAGTATAGTGTAGGGTATTAGTTGTTTTCCAAAAAATTCAAACAGGCATTCAACTTGGACTCCTTAGTTATCCATGTATGAAATGGCTAAGTGATATTTCGGAAGAAAGCTGTGAATTCGTCGGCAGAAGACCACGCAAACACTAAAAAATCTGGCTACTTACCTAGTAAATTGGTGTAACGGTGGATACTACTGCTGAAGCATGCGAGTGGCATGTGGTTCTGTCATAATTCCGCTTCGCGTCTATTGAAAAATGATATTTGTTACCGAATTTGTGGAATCGTTTTTTTAGCATTCGCTTTCGTTTGAGTGATAGCCAATGAGTATTGAGAAAAGTTCAGAAAGACGCGTTCGAGAAGAAGACGGTGACAGTTTTTATAAACAAGATGCATTTGAGAGATTCGTTTCCCTGTCCAATGGTTTTCAACTTCTTAGTTGGTATTCTCTAGTAATCAATTCCGCATAGTAGGCCTTCTCCCTTTCACTGGTGGTCAGTCCAACCTACAGCGCACTCCTCACCCACTAGTAGGAACTGAAACCTCGATCGCGGTTCGTCTTTTGATAAGTAGTTTGCGAACAGAGTTCAAAGTCCATATGGCACGGGCGCAAAATGATGTTTCAGGTGTGAACTTGAGTTCACCAGTCTCCAGAGTCGTGTGCAGTTTGGTACTTAGATCGCTGTTCTCCGTCGACTCATCCCTAGCTCACAGCGAATCCTGGTTATGTGATCGGTGAGTTATGGACAGTTGTGTGATAGGAAATGTGGAATATATGGTTTCACAAGTAGTCGTCAATTGAATTTGGGATTGATTTTCTTAAAAACCACAATCATTGTTTCATTTCCAACATCAACAAGACGTTACAACTTTTACGGTGCACTTCCAGCGAAAAGCTCCAGAAATAACTTGGAAAATGTTTCCGTGGCTGTCTATCACGTGACATCCATTGGTTGATATTAGTATGGAAACTAAATCGTTATAAGGAAGAGCCATATGGTGTCGCAAATCTCATCGTGATTTCGAACCGAATAAGACCATAGCTGAATTTTCACGTTCATACACGTCAGCAACAAAATTTTCTGGAGTGCAGGAAGTGTTTATTTATTGAGAATGGACTCTGGAGATGCACACCTCTAACTGCTCACGCTAATTAGGTTAGAATTGATCATACCATCCATTTTTAAGAAGGCAATGTTTTTAGCGGCTATTTACAACAAGCAATGTTTCCTGTCATTTTACTTTTGCGGACATATACACACATATCACCGAAAAATTCCTCGAGGTAAAACTGTCTCGTTGATCTCCGCTCTATTTCATCCAATATCACATTTCAGCAGTTTTGTCCCATAGAGCAGAATCTTAGTAGCTCAGATAGCAAGGTGCTAGTCCGTTTGTTCGCTGATCTGGGCAGCTTGAATCCAGGAGTTTCATCACCAGTCTAGTTGACATCATCAGTGCGTTGTTAGGGGCCTTAGTGGAGCGTAGCGATAGGTCGGTATTTCATTCATCTTGAACTTGGTGAAGGCAAAAGTAACGCATCTGTCACTTCAGAAAACTGGTATATAACCCCTTTCTCAAATGGTCAAGTGACTTTGAGAAGTTGGGTGTCGGCAAACTCCGAAGTTTTTAAGGCATTTTATTCCTGATGCTGTGGAATTGGAAAGAATATATCTTCTGATTTTGTCATCAGGATAAATGTTTGATTTTTGCTTCGAAAGTTTAACTTGTTTCCAGAAAATAGTTTGGTCTTTATATTCTTCCATATTAACTTTGCTCAAACAGCATTTTCGAATTAACAAGAACTCTGGTTTTTTTTCGCTCAAAAGTCGGACATCATCCCTTACTTACCTACTTAATTTAGGAGGTGAATGAAGAGCGGGATGAATTGGATCAACGGACCGCGGGTTATCTGAATGAAATAGCGCGACTTGAGCGGACCATGAATGAAAGAGACGCCGAATGTGGTAAACTAATGGATCAGTTGCGAAGCGTCGCGGAAGATGCTGAATCGTGGAGATCCAGATGGGAAAATGCAGAGAACAAACTGACGAACGTTCGCATTGAACTGGAAGAACGTGAGGCTGAGTTGGCAGCAGAACGTGAGAGAGCTGACACTCGTGAGAGGGACTTAGTTCACTTACGTGCAACATTAAATTCAACGGAAATGCAGGTGAGTTACCACTAGTTTTTCATAATTCACTTATTTTTGGAGAATATATATGCCTTCTGGTTTATCAGTTTGATCATTTAACGGGAACGAAGCCGATTATTATTGACCAGATACTATAGTCGGTACCTCATAGGTTGTATTGTGTATGATTCCACCTCACAGAAAATGTTTCATTCACATTGCAACACTTGATAGAACGAAAGACTGGCATTGTCATATTATTTTCATATTGAGTTCCATGCGGACTTGCTCATCTGCATGCACATGTGAACATTTGTTGGTTTCGCGCTTAAAACATTAGTGAAATGAAGGTCACGTTAATCCAGATTCTTCTGACGGATTCCAGTTACACGGCCGAATTGAAATGGTCCATAAAAAAATTAATGAGCAAAACGAGACATTATTGTTGTTAGTAGTATTCTGTATGTGGTGGATGACGTAGCAAAAGAATCATTCGTAGGCTACCCAGTAAGTCCGAACGACAAACGCCAAAATAAGGATTCAGGGTCATACAGTGCCCTGTAAGTTCAGTCTGTTGTATATGCGTTAATTGTGTTCCACTACGAATATCGCTGCACTGGTACTTATAGAGGAACCCAGCCATAGGCTGGTGCTGTGACCTCTGTCGCTTTCATCAGTGAAAGGCCATTTTTGACAACATCTGAGGGGGCCGAATGCAAAATGCCCTCATGTAATGTGTGATAACGCAGTAGCAGCCACATTTCATTCAATGTTGTGGAATGAGAACCGTTTGTCAGGTAATGTAGAGGAAAAAATTCCAAGCTTTTATTACCAAAAAGGCAACTACCCATTTCATACTAGCAACTTCGAGGATTCTTCTAGGCCTACAAAGGTTGTCAGTTTACGCGAAAGACTGTAGACAAGACATGACGTAATACCTACATCAAGCTCAAGACCTGCACATTGAGAAGCATTGTTCCGGATTTGGTAGTGCCCCATGTCCATGACCACCTGCTTTAATAAGTATAGCTTTTACGATGGACTTGATCTGTAGCCAATACGGCTTACGTACTTTGAGCTTTTATGTTATTAGAACAGTCAATTGATGGCTCATTCTTCTTGTTCCCACGCTTCGTTACCCTCAAAGCTTTCTAGTAATTTTCGAATTCTGGACGCCACATCTTTAATTCACCACACATCTCACTTTATAGTATGGTTCGACATCGCGTGCACTCAGCGAATCGACGGAGAAACTGCAACTCGCCAGGGCTGAGATCGAAACGGTCAACGCAGAGTTGAGCCGCTTACGCGAAAACGTTACTCGGTTGGAGAGCGAAAAATCTACGTTGCAGAGGGAAGCAACAAGCTTGCGCATCGAAAAAGACCAAATGCGAGCACAACTGGACGATGTAGAGATGGAGTTGGATCAGCTCAAAGAACAGCTGGAACAAGAGAAATCTGTCTCCCGCCACCTGCAAAATAATTTGCAGGCCTCCAGACAAAAAGAACAAGGTGTCCTCCAGGAGTTACAAGTGAGTTAGCAGGAATAGTCAAAACTTTTCAGTAATGTGTCCCTGTTACAGTAAGGAGCCTAGGCTCCATTCTAGAGAAATATCTTCTATCTTGCCAACAAGCTCATAGAGCTGAGTTTTGGGCTGAGGTGACCTTCCGTTCCGTTGCGTTTCTCAAACATAACCAATTTTTGAAAGCCAAGCTTTTAAGCCAATCTTTGAAACCTGACGTCTAATAACAGTGTCACTGCGGTATACCTGTGAATCGCCGCAAACGTGGATAGCGTACAATTGTACAATTTACCGGGCGGGTGGGTGACAACACCATCAATATTGGGAATTTATTAACAATAGGCGGTTTGTTAATTGTGTATGAGCCCAATGCAGTTGAATGATTACTTTTCACTGCGTCTATTTTAGGAACAAAGACAAGGTGGGTTTCAGATACTTGAGTTGTTTTTTAGTTTAAAATATCCTTGCGATATGAGCAAATTGCTGGAATTCGATCTGCAGGTGGATGGATGCACGGTCAAATGCCTGTAGGTGTAAAATCTAGCAAAAAGTAGAAATTTTTATCCAGTGATTCAGTATACCGATTCATATCTTCCGCGGTATATTTTACCCCAAGTTTTGCTCTGAAGCCCTCACTGAATAGCGCAAGAAATGAATGATTATGCGGAAGTGTTATGCATGATGTTCACTCATTTTGAGTCATTTAGCTCCGTTGTGCGAGCACGGGAAAGAGTCAATGGAACAAATCTGTTATATCTGCTGATTCGCCAATTTGTGGCATCCCTGCTGACCCGCTCCAGTGCCTAATGCGGGAAAAAAAGACTCACAGAAGGAAACACAACAAATTTATTCCGAACAAGCGAGTGCGAGGCCGTGAGTGCGCGCGAGTGCAAAAGTACAACGGTCTCAAGCTATGCATTGGAGATGCACTGTCAGAACTTGGTCCAATGCTGACGGACACGGTCCGGCTTTTGTACAGGGCTGTGAGGCGCTGCATATGGCCTTGTCTGACCTTGATCAACACTGGCTATCACTGCCTGGGTTTGATACAAGGCTGTGAGGCGCTACATATTGAGGGGGCGTTGTCTGTCTGGTCTAACGGAGCTGAGAGTCTCGGTGGACTTCGGGCACTCAGTGGTTGCTCTCAGGATGCTGATCTTCCTAGTAATATCCCACTACTGAACGAGAAGCACAGCAGTGTACAGTTGCTGTTGGTTTGTTTGCTTAGCTGAGCACTCACCATCTTTTAACAAAAATTGCCTTTTTTGTCTGTTGATTTAACATACGACAAAAACTTTGGTTCTGCGCACACAAGCCTTAGTTGCTTAGTGATCCGGCCTTGAATACATTCCAAACGTTTTCAGTCACAGGTTGGGCCTTTGGTAATATTTGGCGGGTGTTGAGTGGACTTACTGTCTACCTGTTAATCTGCTCGGGACTCTTAACGTTGAGTGGACACCATTCTCTTTGTCCTATTAGTTATCAAATGACTGCTTCTCCGAAATTGAGAAATCTGAGTTGGTCAAATCTCCTAATTCGTCACATGACCAGTCGTGAAGAAAAGCTTCAAAAGCTGTTGTTCACTCTGTTTGAGCTAAAGTAGAGTGAGTGCCATCGTGTTTCACTCTCTTCGACGAGAACGGCTGTAATAAGGGACAGCCATTAGGTTGTCATTGTAACCGCTGTTCACACCCGTTTTCCCATACTTATACCATGCAAGTGTTATGTGAACGTCATCTGTGTAGAACCAAGTCTGAATCACCAGTCTTGGTAAAAAGCTGTCTGGCTCTTACAGATGCAATATACAGGATATTTACCTTTGATACACATTACTAGATAACCTGCGAGTCGCATACCGCAGCCAACTAGTTATTTAATGTTTGAGCGGAAAAGGCAGTTTCCTGGAAAAGCCTTGTAGACCCAGCTGGTCCGGTAAAACACGACCTTCCGGCTAAATAGTGATGTGATCATAAATCCGCGAAATTGAAGCCAAAACTTAGGTTCGAATAAGAACATTAATTCAGACACCTATCATGTAACTAATTGACTAGTTTAATGACATCGTTTTCCTGGAATCGGACTTGTTCTCCTTTGGCACACCTCTTCATACTTCTAGTCTGTATGTTAGATTATCTGCTTCTCCTCAAGTCGTATGTTTCCCACGACTAGGAGAAGTCAACCGAAGTTTCCGCTTTAAAAGAAAGAATTACCAACGTGGAAGACCGTTCAGAAGCATTACAGCGAGAAAGCGAACGTCTTCGTGAACGTCTTTCCGAAGCAGAGCGTGAAGCCAATCGGTTATCAAGGAGTCTGTCAGCCGAACGTTTTGAAAAGGAGCGTGCACTGTCCGAGTTGCGACTCAGCACACTGCCAGCTGTCTACCGCCCATCTGGCTACACCAGGTAACAGTACAGTTTGATCACTTAGCAGATATCTACAATCACTCGTTGTGTTTGTGTAAGTAATGATCAATCCAAATAATACATCAATAAGTCAGCAACACAGTGTTTATTGGCATTCATAATGTGTTTTAAAACGAAACTGTAGACAACCTTCAACTATGAGAAAAACATCTGCTCATAATTTTAGCTGCCAATAAAAGAGAATCTGTCTGAATGAACTGGCTGCACTGCCCGATAAAGTTGATCGAGATCAAGAATCACCGCAGCTCAGTAAGAGTAAAGTACTACTATAACTGATACTTTTCAAAGGTATGAATATAAGGGGCAGAAATGAATGGGGTGCAGCTCCAAAACACGGCTCGATCGCCATGCGCTACGAACTGTGTCATAGGAAATGTCACTGTGTTCGTCAAGCTGCGGTTGACTGATAAACTCAAAGTTTTCCACCGCGTGACCCAGCACCTGCTTGCCTTGTTTCCATCAGCCTGTATGCGAGGTCGCATCTACTCTACCTTACATAGAGTTCAAGACATAGAGTTCTGACAAAAAGTCTCACCAGCCGAACGCCATCTGTCTAAGGGAGAGCAATAGGCTAGCGAAAATGAATAACTCCGTACACACGTCCATCACGCGGTCGTACTGAAATGATCTACTGAACCCCCCCCCCCCACAAAAAAAAAACCACAACACCGACAC